CAAATCAGTTAGTCATCATGATCATTCCCTTGCCTTTATCCCATCATTTGTGGTCGGCGTAGTATGTCTTTCTCTTCCACTGATCTCTATCGGCTGTCATATCTGAGCATACTCTCCTTTTATTCATATCATCTTTCATACAAACCATCCATCTTTTTTTTAGGGCGTCCTCTCCCTTTCCATCCAGACATCACCAGAAATCAGAATCGTAATGAATTATCAAGTATAATTTCGAAGCTAGACCGCGTAGAATTTGATCTTATAATTGTTAGTAATTTAGCATTGTTACCGCACACGGCGTTACTTACGTTACGGTATTAATAGAATAGAATAGATAATCATTTATTCAAATAAACTTACATTGAAGCACTTTTGAATAGTCATCACATTTTTTTTAATCTACCGCTCAAACGGAAAGCTGTCTCATCACAGAAATTACAGACTAAGAGGCATGACGTCATAGTTATGTAACAGTCAGATAGCCAGGTAGACTGTAATATTAGTATGGTTGAATTAATCTGCTATTATCTAAATATATATAACTCAAAGGTGACTGACATAGTCATCTATCAACGCACAGCCCAAACCACTGGACGGATCGGGCTGAAATTTGGCATGCAGGTAGATGTTATGACGTAGGCATCCGCTAAGAAAGGATTTTGATTAATTCTACCCCTCAGGGGATAAAATAGGGGATGAAAGTTTGTATGCTAGTAGGGTCAGCTAGTAATATATATAATACAAAATATTATTTATTATAATAAATAATATTTCGCTTATTTGTGGTTTCCATCAGTTTCAATACTATTGATGAATGGAAACTCAATTATTTTGGTATTATAATAGGAAATACCGGAGCCACTTGGAGTGAATGTCAAGTAGGACCAACTTAGATAAGTTGCCCTTCGTCCCAATAACAACTTACTGTCTAACCTCCAAACTATTTAAGTTAAAACTTCAAACCTGAAGCCTGATGAGAGCAACTTGGTTGGGGAACCGTACCGTATTGTAGCAGTTAGATGTGAACGAAACCGCGTGTATAGCTAGTATTCTGGTATTGAAAGATGTTTTTTTTTAATTATGAATATAGTAGAGTTATTCGATAGTTCTTCTCGATAGCAAATCACGTTGACTACCAATTATGAAAGATATAAAAAGGAAAGGAAAGAAAGTATATTAAAAATACATCTCATTTCAAAGCTAAATTACGGGTTCATTTTCTACGCAATGTGCAATCATAATTAAATTTCTGATTCTCCTTGTCTATCTCTTTCTTTTCCGCTCTATTTACTTATCTTCTGTCTCATACATGGGTAATTTTCCTGTATCTAAATATGTAATCCAAGTATGTATATGTATATTATATTTATTTATGTGTCGTATGTAAGCATGTATGTCTAATAATATGTATTATTGTAAAGTTACTACGTAAGTGTTTGTAAACCATAATGCACCGCTTACTAACTTCTCAGTTTGCCTTATGGGTGACTGGTAGAGAACACCGTTAGGTGTTAAGTTCGCCATATGTACATTTATACATTGTATTTGTGCCTTCAAGTTTAAATAAATAAATAAATTTTAGAAGAAAGTTATTTATTTTACTTACAGGGACTTAATTATTATTCGTTATAAAAGGAAAATCATATACCTATTGTTAATAACTCTTTAGTTTATATAAAGAAAATATAAATTTGAAAATTGTGTATTCCTTGTCATCGTTAGAACAATAGAAAATAAGGACTGTAAATTTAGACTTCATCGTGAAATATATAATTGTGATATAATATTTTACTTTCCTCTTTTATTGATGCCCTATCTACCGAACCTAATTATAATTCAATATCTATTATTATATATATATTGGGTTTGCTGTACTGCCCAATACCTATATCAAAATATTTAAAACTTTAAATTTATCACAATACAAAAGTATAATGTTTTCGAATAATTCTAAAGAGTTCCGCAACACTAAACATTTGAAATATTGAAGAAACTTTCAATTCAATCTGTTAAGTTGCGAATTTAACGGTTGTTTTTATATACAACTTACAATGTAACATTATTTTATCTGCGTGCAAGTTAAATAATATACTTTTGTTGTAAAACTCAATTGATCATCAATGATTCTTATATCTTTTGACGGCCTCGGTGGTCTAGCGGTTTAGCACACCGTCTTACGTCCGATGGTCACGGGTTCGATTACTCGCACGGCACGAACATTTGCATTCATCAGTATGATTATTTGTAACGGTCTGAGTGTTTTCTATATATGTTTTTAGGAAAAAAAATCTATGTATTTGTACCAGTTATCCAGTACCCTTAAGCGTTAGATAGCTTAACTTGGGACTAGATGGCGCTGTGGGAATTGTCTTGAAATTTAATAATCTCTAACCGATACACCAACTTAAAACCTTTTTTAATCAATACTTTATTATAATAAGGTTTAAAAAGGTTTTAAGTTGGTGTATCGATGTATACATATGAATTCCTGATGAGAATATTTCCTAGTTACATACATTTTAATATGTGATCTTTCAGTATTCAGGTTTTAGTTTATAAACTCACTTTAATAGTTCAGTTTTATCAATCCAGTTTAGTTGTTCTCATACTGATTTTTATACCGGATAAAGTCTTTTTGTTGTTGTAGAAAATAATATTATCTTCAATTAATGCTTCTAAAATAAGCATTTAGCTTACCTTAGAAGTATACATTATTAATATTTTTATATTTCTTTCTTATTAGATTTTCTTATCTCTTTTTTACGTATGTAATGTATGTTTATTTGATATAATAATTTATCAGCGGCTGTCTGCGTCATCATTTTTGTGTTCTGATATGTGATGTAATGAATATTATTCTATTCTTTTTTTGAACTGAATATTCGATAGAATAAAGTCTGTCTACCCACCTGCAAGTACAATAGTGAGCATATCTATTTCATATCAGCTCGTAACCATTTAATGAAGATGCGTAAATAAATCTTAAATAAAGGATTGAGCATAAAAACTTGTCGCTCCCCTCGGATAAATACAAAATACGATATGCCGCCCAAGCTAACGCTTTCTAAATACTTGGCATATTCGCTTTGTTTTCGTTCGCTCGGGATTCACTTTGAAATTATTTGGGTACCTACGTTCTCATACTGCTTATAAAAACACCAGCTAGTTGTTTACAAATATTTGTTATAAGGATAATTTTGAAACATATGAATGTAATAGAGTTTTTTGATAGTTATTCTCATTAGCAGCTTATGATGAACAAAGGTTGAAGGATAGGAGATGGCGGAGAAGAATTATTTACAGAGAATTCAGTATAAAAAGAAAAACATATAGATACATTAAAATATTTAAAACTTTAAATTTGTGTCAAAATACAAAAAAAGGTAAAGTTTTCGATTAACTCCAAAACAGTTCCGCAACACAAAGCACCTGAAATAGGAAGTTGCGAATTCGACGGTTTTTTCTACATTGGTAATATACATTTGATCTAATACGGAATTGTGTATCTCTGATCGGATTAACCTCTTCAAGGCGTTATCTATATACGTTCTTTTTCTGTATGTTTATGAGTTTCCCACAGTATTTATGTTTTTTTTTATTTAATAGTCTTTTTACTTATCGCTTGTAATTCAACTAACAACATATTTACCATTTATTGTGGTAATATCGTCTTCGTTCTTAGTTATGAGTACATATATTTCAAAATAATGTATGAGCAATGAGGAAGTACCTAATGATTTATGATGCCTATGATGCCTATGATGCCTATGATGCCTATGATGCCTATGATGCCTGCTCTATTGGTTGACTTAGATTCAGAAATGGTTTTTTTTAAATACAACTCGCTACTACAATTACCCGCAATTTCTTTTCTTTAAAAGTTTGATATAAATGATAACTTTTATCCTATCCTAGATAATATATATTTATATATTATCTTTATATATCTGGATGTCAAATTTCATTAAGATCCTTTCAGTCGATTAGTAATAAAGTTAACAAACAGATAGACATACTTTCGAATTTATATTAGTATAGATGAGATAGAAATATATAACAACTACCTGTAGCCTAATAGTAATTAAGTAACAGGAGAGACTTGTCTATGAAACCATAATACTCTCTGTTTTATAAATGAAAATATATTGTTGGGTAACTCATTAGTTCAACAACTATGGTGTTTACGGGAAAAAAAACCTTAAAAACTGTATTGTGTATGACCTTTTAAGTTCTAAAGTGTTATAATAATTTCCCCTACAAATAACGATGGTTTAACGCTGAATATTATTATAAGTTACGATGATATTAAGAAGTTCTTATTGAATAAAGCCTATTTACACTGTAAACGATTATTTTGGAGGCGACCTTGTCTGGCGTTAGTTATTCAGATAAGGGGCATTTGATATTTCATGTGAAGACCAGTAAAATTCCTGAATTTTTTTTTAACAAAGTAGCTAACTAAAACCTTAAAAATTAAATTAAAACGATCATCAAAATTACTTCAGCTATGAAGCTGTATATAATAATGCAGTTAAATTGAGTGTATTTCTTTTGAAAGTGATGTGATAAGTTATAGAAACTCGTCTAGTAATTATGCAGTGTATGGACCCATGTCTTCTGCTAGCCCTTAAAAAATTCGTTAAAAAATCATTAAAATTAGTATATCTTCTAAAGCTGCGTATAAAATCGCAGATTAAATTGATAGTATTTCGTTGAAAATGTTTTGTAAAGTTGCAGAATTTTCAAATTATTTAAATCCAGCACTTAGTTATTAAGCAGTGTGTTGATACATGTCTGGTGCTAGCCACTACAGTGATTTCGTTTAAAAAAAATAACAAAATTACTGAAGCTGCATATAATAGCTGAGATGAAAATGAGAATATTTCATTTGAAACTTTGAAAAGTTACAAAAAGTTTCAAACTATTTTATCCAAACACTCAGAAAAATTAAGCAGTATGATACATGTCTTGTGCTTCAGTTAAAGAAAGAGAATACTCACCTTCTGTTTGAGTAGTCGTCAGCGTTCCGGCGAGAGGAAACTCATGTCGAATCTGAGCATGTGCGTCATGGCGTGGTGATGCGTCGAGGTTGCCGCGGCTACTGTCGCTGTGTGTGTACTACTGGATGCACGTTGCTGAAGACGCCTATGGGCGTGCCGGCACGCCCCCTCGCAACAAGTTGTTCTGTTCGCACTTACATTTCCATTTATTATTTTTCAAGTTGCCTTAGGTTATGTGCACACGAGGTATATGGAAAATTTGAGAATTTTCAGCAACTACGACAATGACAATTTAAGAAGATGGATTTTTAAAGATCCTAGCTTCACTTTTTGCCGCCATGTTTGCTTTGTAAGCTGTATTCCATTTTATTTACTTAATTAAACTTTAATGCACCATATCATATAGAAAGTAGGTATATAACATGAACGTATTGGTAGAGAAAATTGACTACAACTACAACTCTACATAGGTCATTCATGTAATGTAACTACTCTGTACTCTGGACAATATAGTGTCATCTCTCTCTATATGTAAAATTGTCTTATATTTGCTCTGTATATTTAATTTAAAATCATAGTAAAACGCAGTTCGTTTCAGCACAACGCGGATGGATGGAAGGGGAGAGGACAACAGAAAAAAAGACGGATGGACTGCGTGAATTTAGATATAAATATAGATAGATTCTTATTTTTATTTCTCTATCCACCTAAAGGTAGTCTGGAAGAGATTGCTTAGCGATAAGATCGCCTTTTGTATCAGTGTATATTTTCTATTTTAATTGTTATTTTTTTGTTTTTGGTCCGTAATTGGTGCAATAAAGCGTATAAATAAAAAAAAAATAGATAGAGGAATTAGTGGAAGAGTATGATATACTGTGCTGATCTCAAATAGTGGGATAAAGACATGTCAATGATGATGGCATAAGGAGAACTCAAAGAATAATAAGGCATACTGAGGAATTAGTTAGCGGCGCTATATAATTTACAAACATACCTACATGGTAACATTTTCCAGAGGATAAGCCAGTTAAATTATAAGGTACGGAAGCAACACAACATAGTCCTCAGGAATGGTAGGCATCACGTGAACGTTACAACGAAATATGACGTCTGATGATGCTCGTGGTGCCTCTTCTTCAGGTATACAGGCAGTGCTTAGCTGCCTTTATAGTTGTGCTGTTCCACGCACTTTTCTCGGCTTTTACGTAGGAAATAGAGTGCATGTAAAAGTAGACAAAGAGAACGAGTGAGAACGCGTGCGCTGCTCGCTTGAGCAATAGCACGTGCTTTTGCATGTTTTGTAATAAATAGTTATGCAAAATGTCGGACTTCTGACCATGGAGCAAAGACTTAATTTTTTGTTCTGTCAAAGGTGTCTACGGATAATAAATACAAATTGAAATTTTTAAAGAAAATGCATATATGATACTCATGAGATATCTCACGAAACAGATAGCGTAAAAAATACAGACAAACAATCAGTCAAGATTCCGCGCCCGCGCTTTCTTCCGTTAAATTGATCACGCGTGAATAAACTTGTAGTGTAAGGGCAGCTATTGTCAGTTGTCATCAGAAGCATTGCTGTTCCAGTCAGGCACATAATAAGTCACATATTTGCTGTATCCATAAAGATTTAGCAGTGAATGGAATCTTTGCTCCCGTATGGCAATGCCCCATTATTTCCTTCTTCGGTCACGTTTCACGAAAAAACGACGCATCCGTAGAGCGACTTGTCATACAGGGTAGAGTTGATGGTACTACCCCGTGGACGATCACCCATGCGATGGACCGACCAAATCAAAGCAGCAATAGGCGGTCCACTCCACGAGTGTACCAGAATGGCAGATAGTAGAGACAAATGGCGAGCTGTCGTACGGCGGATGACGTCAGCCTCACATCCCACTACGTAATAACCACGACCGTTCTGACAAGAACGAAGCGAGTGAGAAGAAGAAGAATGGCAATGCCCCAATAGATATGCCGGCGATATTATCTCGCTGTACAGAACGAGTAACTTATCCGCTCTCAGATCATCACTCAGGGATTTTGTCTTCGAAACACAGGATCAAATGAGAAGTGTACACTGTGTATGTACTATGTCATCTGCATGATATTTATATACATATTATTATATAACTAGTATTTACATAACCTAATTGTACAACTAAGAACTAAAATAAAAAGCTTAAAAAAAATAATAATATGATGACTAAAATATATTATTAAAAGGGGTCCCTTTAGGCAACGTTCCGAAGATACTGGCAGCGTTCCCTCTTTGAATAGCTAGACTAATTCTTTGTCCAAGGTAGCTGCCAGCTCTTCGGTCTTCTGTGATGTCGACTAACCTTTTCGTTATTTCTTTGAAAAGTCTTATAGCGCTAGGACCCCACGGACCAAGGGTCTCGACACCGAATGGAACAAATTCATATTCGGAGCCTAGACCCCGGTATTTACATATTTTGGCTTTTTCAGCCGCTTCACATGCCGCACCAGCTCTGTTGTTGGTTCCTGCATGCTCTGCATCTGCATGATCATATTTATCTATCTTACTTATTACAGCCGCTAAGCAGATTGCTTCGTAAGATGCATCTAACAAATGGTCCAGATTTTGTAACTCACTCGACTAAATACGATGCTATTAAAGAACATCGTCTAAATAAAATTCCTAATCCGGGACTCTGTCTACATCCGTCTTAAGGAGTAGCAGATAAATAAATACGCGCAGTTACGAGAGACACGCCCCCGCTCGTCTTGTGATATTCCCAGATTTGACCAATCAACTCGACACCACGCGATGTATAGCTGTGATCGATGGCACTCACTATCGGATAAATTGTAGTTTTTTTTCCCTACAGGATTAATCCTAAAGGATATACTACAAATCCAGCCTAGTAATGTACACTTTTTGTATAAAATTGCAGATACTTTTCTATTCAATTTATACTTATAAAATTAATTTGTTCATTTACATTAATACCTATTGGTAATCATGCGTCAACGCGTATTTCCTTTTTTTATAGCATAGGGGACAAACAAGCTTGTGGCTCACCTGATGGTAAATGATAACCATCGGCCATGAGCACTAGTAACATTAGGGAATTGCAAGTGCGTTGCGTCATTTTCAAAAAGGAATAAATTGCCATACTCTTTAAACAGAGTCCATGTGTATTGTTAATTTATCGTATGTAAATTTATGTATATGCATGTGCAATTATAAATAAATAAATAAATACGATGTCTCAGGGCAAAAGCTGAAAATCAGTGGTTTGCTGCTCGGGCAAAGAATACACTGAGGTGCTGCCTTCTTTTCTTATAGGCAATGCACACAAATTTACTACGATGCTCACATGTTTTTGTACTACTATTGTATATTATTCACTGTCCGATTCTGCTAATTTCTCCTCTTCGAGGAATCAATGTTACATTTTAGCATTGGCGTTTAAGCACATCTTTGTAACGAATTTGACCGCCCAGTTTTCCCTTACTTCTTCTGCAAATTCGGAATATTTTCTTTATAAATAAGTTGCAATATACTAAACATATCTAAGGTGGTGAAGATGAGTGTTGACGTATGCCGGCAAAGAGGCCCCTTAAACCTACACCGGTCAAAAGTCCCGGGAACTCGGAGTTTCCCTCTCTGCCACACGATGGACCCAGCTTCCGGGTGAATCTATGGAATGCTAAGAAATTCGTCTCGTCTCTTAATAATGTGTACTAAACACGAATCCTTCATAGACCAAACCGATCAATAAAAATCTAGACGTTACGGATACCAACACAAAGGTGTCTAATAAAATGAAACGAGGCCAGTTAAACAGTGAATAATCAAATTATAACAATGTACTATATATGTATAACAATGTAATATACAGTAACATACGCAAAGCTAGACGGTCATCAGATAATCGTCGGAGACACAGGGACGGCTCATGCGGGTTCTTATCATGTTATCATACATCGTTTATGTGACTTACGGGTTTTGTTACGAAATACGAAAGTGTGTTGCTTATCTTTCTATCTTATCTTTCGTTTGTATCTTTCTATTCGTTAGCTTTTCACGAGTAAACTACGAAATGCGTAAGGTATTTCTTTATATATCTTCCTCTCTTTCTACCTTTCAGCATAAAGTAGTCCACTGCTGGACGTATGTCTCTTGCATAATTTTCCACTTAGTTCTATCCGAGGCGCATCTTGTCCAGGTCGGCCCTATTTGTATATATAGGTATATCTTCCTGTTTGTTAGCTATTCACGAGTTATCTGTCTAGCTATCTTTCCATTGGTTAGCTTATCACGAGTAAACTATGAAATGCGAAATTGTATTTCTCTATCTATCTTTTTATTCGTTACCTTTTCTGTCTATATCTTTTTATTCGTTAGCTTTTCACGAGTTATCTCCTGAACAGATCTTAATCGGTGACGGCTATCTTTTATATCCATTTTATAAAACAAAACTACACAGCCGCGTCCTACTGTATTTTGGCGATAATCTCAAAAGTTAGGTACTAAACGGTTTTTGAGGTTGTTTTTTGTTAATTGACACTGTTATTTGTGACGACCTCGGTGGTCTAGCGGTCTAGCATACCGCTTTACGTCCGATGGTCGCGGGTTCGATTCCTCGCACGGCACAAACATTTGTATTCATGAGTATGATTGTTTGTATCGGTCTGGGTGTTTTCTATGTATATTATGTATGTATTTACGAAAAAAAAAATTATCTATGTACTTGTATCAGTTATCTAGTACCCGTAACACAAGCTTTAGCTAGCTTAACTCGGGTCTAGATGGCGCTGTGTGAATTGTCCTGAGATTATTATTATTATTATTATTATTATTATTATTATTTCTGAGTAATGTTTAGTTGTATAATTTGATAATGGTTGGTTGCTAGTTTATATATAAACTAGTTACTCGCCCCAGCCTCTCGCGGGTGTACATGTATAATATAATATATACTTACCTTTATATATGTATAATATATACTTTACCCGCCAAGACTACACACATACGGTTTTTACAAGATGTCTCTCGGTACAATTGCATCCGTTTGAATAGAAACGATACGAACAAACCTGTGAAATTAAGCTAGTATAT